ACAAAAAATAATGAATTAGTTTGATACAATTTTTATCTACCAACATAAGGAATGGCCAACAAAACAAACAAAAAAAGAGATACCAAGCAGTGCTAAGAGGTACTCAAGACCACCATTCGATAAACCTAATAAAATTTTGAAGACAAACCATTACAAAGGAATATGAAGTTTGCTAAGATAAAAGAAAGTGTCAAGCTTAACCACTAGAAGGCAGTAGAAGGCCATTAAAGTAGCACCTTGTCCTGTAATTAGTAAGTAGCAGCATTACTCTCTAATACTCTTTGTGTAGTAATGTTGATGCGTCTAAGACTATTTCAAAAGCTCTTCAAAAAAAAGAAAGACAAAAGTGTTAAAGAGGCTGCACAATCATTGAAAAATTAGTTATGAAAATCAAATCACTTTTTTGCCTATGACAATAGCAAAATTAAAAAGATTAATACACACACACACATCAAGGTCAGAGTGTGGGGAAACGCATACTTTCATTTGAGTAGAAATATAAACTGGTGTAGACTTTTGGAGAACAATATGGCAAAACAGAGCAAAATTTAAAATGCATGAACTTTTAGACCTATTTCACTTCTAGGAATCTAGCACAAAGACATCACTGGCAGCGTGGTTTGTCACGGTAAAAAACCTGAGACAACCTAGATGCCTATCAACAGGTAAATGGTTAAATAAAAATCCATTATTATAGAATATTAAGCAGCATTTTTTTAATGAGGGTATATAGCATTTTTACACAAATAACACATGCCACTTACAAGCGCTGCCATGCCAGTCCTCTTACACATGTTGCTGTAAAAAAAAAAAATTAGCATAGCTTGCTAACAAAAATACCTCACAGGAGCAGCCAACTAACAAACACAGAAGGCACACGCATTATCTGCACAAAAATATGTTATCTATATTTTGATATAGAAGGATTTCTACCCTAGGTGAAAAAAGTCAACTACAGAATATAACTCTCTCTATATGTATATATTTACATACAATATTTGCAAAATCACATTTAAAAAAAAGGGTACATACTAAACTTTTGGGGAAGAGGTTATGTAATGGGATTAAGGCGGGGCTATGAATTTTTTAAACTTACTTCTATGCTATTTTTACTTTTTAAACAAGTACACATTCTTCTATAATTTATATAATTTCAGTGTGTAAAATTCAAGTCAAAAAGCATTAAATGTAACAAAGAGGGTATCTGTTGTTGAAAAACAATGCAATTCACAACAAGACAACAAAGACCTTTTAAAAATTATGAGCACTTACATGGATAAAATTGTACTTTAAAACTACTACTAGTTTTAATAAAAGTGACCTTAAAACAAACAATTTTTAAAGGCCAGGTTACATATCAGTGGAAAATGGAGAGGTAATGGGTATTTAGACTATTAAATATACTATGTGGTTTCATAGCTACTATAATGATCAAACATCCTCTGATTCCAGAGACTTTTCCTTAGAAAAAAGATCTTGAATAAAAAGGAACTAAAATCAGACCCTCTAGATTCCTTGCCTTCATTTAAAAACAGGAATTTGGACGTTATGAAAGATGGCATATTTCATCACTACTAAATTAACTGATCTCTTAAGAATAATATAAATACCAAGAAACTAATAAATTACGTATTAATTATAGTTGTGAACTTAATAAAATGCATACATTAATGAAATCACAAAACAGAAAAAACTTAGATCTGAGACAGGCCATACCTAAATCATCCCCATAAAATGATTTATCCATTAATTTCTCTTTTAATGCTTCAAAAGATTACATAAACTCTTACTCCCTATCAACTTGGATAACTTATCAAAAGAATCATAGTTTATTTTCCTTCTACCCTCCCTCTCTCCCTTCCCCTCCCTCCTTCCCCCCTCCCTCCTCTGCTTCCTCCCTCCTTCCTCCCTCCCCTTCTTTTCTCCCTTCCCTCTCATCCTTCCATCCACCTATCTATCAATCAATCAGTTATCAGGGTTTCTCTTTATCTTATTCTTTAAATCTTATTTGTTTACTTTGTACCCCAATCTAAACATTGGTCCTTTTGTTTCACTTTCACTAGCCTAAAACCATAGCATCTAGGCATCTAACCCCTTACTTAGAATTGGGTCTTAAAATGATCCAAGTACGTGAGATTTTGTAAAATACTTAATAGGCTAATAAATCAAAGACCTGCCTACTCTGAATTACCACATGAAATGGCAAATCTGTTTCTGTATAAGTTGTTTGTTGTTTGGCTGGGTATTTAGAGTAATAAGAAGGAAGATCACTAATTTTCCAGCCTTATAAAAAGCACTTCTTTGCACTAAGCAGACAGATAAGGGACCTGCAACAAACATACATCAGGGAGACCCATTAAGGTCTAAAGTGATTGTTTTCTAAAGTCTCATGCCAGCTGACAGGTCCCTGTGGGGGGAAGTTGCTTGGCAACTGGAATTCGTATTTACCAATAGGTAATTTAATATAAACCTTCTAAGTTGTGTGCTATGTGATCCATTATGTCGTTTATTCTGATTGGGTACAGCATTCTGAGGACAGTAAGCGTAGGTGGCTACTTAAGACAGTATCAAATTGACAGGAAAAAAATAGAATGCAAAGTTATACTTAAATGAGTCACTTTCTTCCCTATTCTCCTCCCCCCACCAACCCTTGTCCCAAAAAGCAATTTTTTAAAAAGTAAACACATTTTCTTCCTCTCTCCTTCCCACCAAGCATCAGAAGAAATTCAAACACCCTCCAGTTCCCAAAAGTCACAGGGAGAAACAAAAACATTATGACTTTAATCAGTCAAAGAACTATGCAGTAAGAGCATCTGGGTATAAAAGGATAGTTCTATGAAAAGAGCAGTCAGCCTGCATGAAGGAAGGGTGAAACAGAGACGACACTGTCTGTGGGAAGGAGTGACTCCAATGGAACTGTTCACCTAATGTATAAATTGCTGCAACAGAAACATTAGTCAGAAACAAAAAAAGCCAATTACTAACGAAAATTGCTCCCAAACCAAGGAGCTACTAGAACACACTTAATAGATGTAAGCCAGGCCTGCACATTAAGGTTTTTCCCTTTTCCCCCCTTCACTGTAGAAGAACATTCATGCCGTGAATATTATTCCAGAATTCAAGAGCAAAAAAACTGAAACTCAATACTAAATTATAAAATATTGTAATTACCAAAAAAATCATAGCCTGATAGCTTGGGTCAGCAAAAAAGAGGAAGACCTTCAAAGAGATGGATTGACACAGTGGCTACAACAATGGGCTCAAGCATAGCAACAATTGTGAGGCTGGCGCAGGACTCGGCCATATTTCGTTCTGTTGGGCATGGGGTCACTATGAGTCGGAACTGACTTGATGGCAGCTAACAACAGCCTGGGAATCTGCCTACTGAGATAGCATAAGGAAATTACCAAGTGTTTCAATTTTTTAAAAGATACTTATTCTTGCTTGACCAACACTGTTATTTTTTCCCTTTGGTACTCTTGTTCATTTGCTGCCATAAACTTCTACTCAAGATAACCCCACCCAAGCTACCAACCTGTCTAAAAGTATGATGAATTAAAGTGTTTTTAGAATCTACATCTTTTGGTTATTGTTATGTTTAAATAAACTCTAATGTTCTCTACACAGCTTTCCCCAGAAAAAACAATACTTAACATCCCAAAGAGAACAAAAAGGGAAATTACCAAATGGTATAAGAAAGGGTTCATTAAATGGGCCCTCTGTTAAAGAGACTTCACTTCACTATACCATAACTTTGGTAAATGAAATAATAAGATAGTGTCCTTGATTAAGTAAGAAAATTCCATTTGCACAACCTAAGTAATTCTCACCATGAAAATACAACTTAAAATTAAAATCCCAGTTAGCACAATGCAGAAAAATTTGGAAGGCTAGTTAAGTCTAATTGCCTTTTAAAGCAACTCCAAAAGTTACTTTTTAAGGGTAGTCAGCACACACACACACACACACACAAAATCCTCACAATTGGACTGATAAACATCACTATAAATAATCAACATCCGTGGAAGCAGCAGTCCAGAAGTCAAACAACGTATTGCATTGGGCAAATCTGCTGCAACAGACCTCTGTAAAGTTTTAAAAAGAAAAGATGTCATTTTGATGACTAAGATGTGCCTGATCCAAGCCACGGTCTTTTCAATAGCCTCATATGCATGCAAAAGCTGAACAATGTAAAAAGGAAGACAGAAGAAGAACTGACGCATTCCAATTGTGGTGTTAGCAAGAAATATTAAGTGCATGGTGGACAGCCAGACGAAACAAATTAGTCTTAGAAGAAATACAACCAAAATGATCTTAGAAGCAAGGATGGCAAGACTTCATCTTGCTTACTCTGGATACATCATCAGGAAAGACCAATCGCTAGAAAAGGGCATCATGTTTGGTAGACAGTCGTCGAAAATGAGGAAAATTCTCAATGAGATGGACTGACACAATAGCTGCAACAATGGGCTCAAATATACTAGCAATGAAGATGGCACAGGGCTGAGCAACGTTCCGTTCTGTTATAAAAAGGTATATGCCAACTTGACAGCAACAGTACAAAATACTCAGACTGATACTAGGTTGTTGACACTTTACAGTAAGTAAAAGATTTAGTAATAGTTTACATTAAGCTAAATTAACCTATTCCAAACTATCATAACCATACAATCCATTAGTTTTTGATGCACCATTAATTCTTTGCACAGCTACCTTCACAGTAACTTCTCGGAAGAACAAGAGAACAAATTCATTCAATAAACATTTCATCAAGCACCCACTATATGCTAAGTACTGTGCCACGATCTGGGGAAACAGCAATTTAAGGGCTTATTCTCCTTTATCATCACATCTCCGATCAACTCTAAACACCAGTTTCTAATACTTATGGGAATGCCTGGATTCCAAAGTATTACTCTATAATCACTGTCATAATAATAGTTTTTGTTTTTATTTATTTATTTTGCAGTGGTAATTCAATCTTTTAATTTCTCTGTTACCTTCATTTGCCTCTGGTCTTGAATTCTTGATATATGCAGAGAATTTGGCAAAGATGTCCATTCCAGCAGTGTTTGATTCTGGGTGTTTTGGTGAAAGCTTTAAGTACCTAAATAGACAAAGTGACAAAGGATTATAGGTCCTCCAAAGATGCATTAGCATAACTTCTCTCAATCAACAAACCATCTTGCTAGCAGTTACTAGACATCTTTTAATAGTTTATTACTTTAAGAAATGCCATCATCTGTTTTCTATGACATCTTTAAGATGCATTCCTCCCCCCTTAGGAAACAAAGCTCTGCAGTTTGTTTATTTTTAATTCACATATTAATATTCTTGGCAACAAAAGGGCATCTGCACTCCATCTCCATTTTTATAAGTTAGAATACTGGCAGAAACAGTCTAGCTGTTCAGAGACTTGCACTAGGCCAGTGGGCATCTAAGAATGAGATCTCAAGAAAGGTACTGTCTACAAGAACATTCTGCAATGATGGAACTGTTCTATATCTGCATTGTCCAATACAGTAGCCATTGGTAACACACAGTTATTTGAATTTAAATTAATCACAATTAAATAAAATAAAAATTCACTTCTTCAGTTACACTTGCCACATTTCAAGCACTTAAAAGCTATTAGACAGCACAGCTCTAGAGCTTGCTCGAATAAGAATGCCCACAAAATCCTTGGTATGCCTGTGCAGCAGTACCAGTAACAGAACTTTGACAGTAGGAAAAGTGTCTAGGCTGGTCAAGCATCTTGATTTTCCACAGCAGGGTTAGGTCAAACGCAGCAGGAGGCTGTTATGGATTGAACTGTATCCCCAAAAAATGTGTGACAACCTGGCTAGGCCATGATTCCCAGTATTGTGTGGGTGTCCTCCATTTTATGATCTGATGCAATTTTCCTATGTGTTGTAAATCCTAATCTCTATGATGTTAATCAGGCAGGATTAGAAGCAGTTAGGTTAATGAGGCAGGACACAATCTACAGGATTAGGATGTATCTTGAGTCAATCTCTTTTGAGATATAACAAGAGAGAATGGAGCAAAGAGGAGAGGGACCTCCTACCACCAAGAAAGAAGAGACCAGAACTGAGTGCGTCCCTTGGACCCTGTGCTGAGAAACTTCTAGACCCAGGGGAGGATTGATGACAAGGACCTTCCCCCAGAGCTGACAGAGAAAGAAAGCCTTCCCCTGGAGCTGGCGCCCTTAATTTGGATTTCTAGCCTCCTAGACAGTGAGAGAATAAATTTATTTGTTAAAGCCATCCACTTGTGGTATTTCTGTTATAGCATGACTAGGCGACTAAGACAGAGGCATATCACTCACTTCAATCCTATACTCAGCATTTTCCAAAACTAAAAATTTCCATGGTAAATTTATAAGGGTATTCTGAACAACAGAAAAATAAGCTGTAAGAAATTATAATGACAAGTGCTCAGTTGTGTTGTTACAAAGCTTTTTGGTTTTTTTTTTTTTTTTAATTTTGAGAATAGGCATTTATGACTCATCAGCTTTTAAAAAAAATTACGCAAATGTGCGTTTTACATACTTAGATTCCAAACACATATACTCAGTGTTGAACATGGTTTTAAAATAGGTATGATTTCTTCCTTAAACTGGAAAATGCATATGCAAAAGCTCAACTATCCACTCTTCCCTTCAGCAGAGCTTACATCAGTTCTAGTAAACCTGAGCTAGAGGAATTCAGATTCTTAGCAACATTTCAGGGAAGATCAATGAGCTTAAAAGGCCTGCAAAATATCACTAGAAAATGGTCTTGGGGGCAGTAAGGCTTTGGAAAGAATCTCACACTGAACTGGTTATTTTGATTTACTCTATATTTTAAGAGGCGCTGTCTTACAACAATTGTTTAAATTAAAAATGGAGGTAAGGTTATTTTTAGAAAAAGAAATTTAGTTCAGTTGCAAGCTGTAGTTTTAGGTTAGTTTATATATTTTTCTGTTACATTTCTTCTGTTTACTATTTACAATTCAGGAATACAGCTTCTAAAAATTGGACATAGATACTGACAAGAAGGATATAAAGAAGGAGCTGTAACAGGAGTTAATCCCAGGCCCAATATCCCTGGGTTTCCCCTTCAACTATGAAAACAACCAAACCAGGCTCCAAGTTTAAAATGTTTTTACTGCCTGTAATACAGTGCATGCATTGACTCATTCCAAACTAAAAAAATAGTGCCAGGAACATAAGTACTTCTTCAATAAATCTATGTCTTCCTCTAGCCAAGTTTCCAAAATTAGTCTTCTTTTCCCCAACCAATATTTAGTTGTACCTACTTTTCTAATGAAGTAAACCTCATGATTCTCAAAATAACTTATAGGAAGGCAGGCTTAAATTACACACCATTTATATATTCACTTATTCATGCATACATTCATTTGCTCTTATAATTATTGAGTATCTACTATGTGTGAGGCAATGTACTAAGTAAGTGCTAGGATGTAATGATGAGCATACAGAAACACACATACTGTACTACTTTTAAAATGCACATGAAAGTTCCAACTAGAAATATATTTTAGTAAACAGCTAAGAATGAAGAATGGCTTGCAATTAGCATACCTTTATTCATATGGAAATAGATCTACTCAAATTCTTAAAAAACACTGTTCTCTAAAGCAAGTTAAACATGTCCATCCTCCCCACCCAGACAAATTATTAAATCTGTACTATTAATTTAATGCATACAGTAGTATAGCTACAAGAGACCACTCATCCCAAATCTCCCAATCTGCCTAAAAGGAAATGATGCCCCAAAAAGCTTACACACTTGGCCCCCAAGTCACTCGACAAGTTAAAAGTATGATAAAACTAAAACTCAGATTTCCTGTCCCTTAGCCCAGTGTTTCTTCTCTGTTACAGAGCAGATTCTCTCTAAAAGATAAATCACAAACTCTGAACCAATAGGTCCAAAATCAGTTGCCAACTTTTTTTGCATCACCACAAACACTGAATTTTAATAATTCATCCATTATTATTAGTTTCAGCAAACAGCCTGATCAAGCAATAATTTAATTAATGTGAGCATTCGTTTTAACATTTAACAAAAGACTGGCAAAGAATTCATAAAAGGCCGAGTGTCATCAACAGAATGGATATGAGCTTCCAGGGCCCACAGAATTTCAGGTCAGTCCCTTATGCTGTATTACATCACAGACTATTAATGATACACTAGTTAAGAATATTTCCATCCTTTTAGGAAAGATTAGACATTTTCTTCTTTCTCACATTAATCCAAGAATAAAGGCTGGTTATACTGCCTACTGAATTATCCTTAGAGGTGAGTTTCTAAAATTCAGCTTTCAACGTCTGCATTTCTCATTCTTAAAAAAAAAAAAAAAAAAGCCTAACACTGTATAAAGCTCTCCGTCAAAATTATTTCACTGCCTTCTATCTTCCTTCTCTTCTTTTATGAGTAAGTTAGCCAGGTATAGAGGTCTGCTTTAATTAAACATCCAAGTTTCAAGGCTTTTTGACAAAGTAGTTCCTTCATTCACGTAAAGGGAGAAATAAATACAGAAACACTTTCCCCAGAGGAGAAGAGAAAGTTCACTTTAAAATCTATAGTTACACAGACCAACAAAAGTTCTTCAATTTAAACTTTTCATTAGCCTCTAAATTATAAACAAATCTAGAGAAGACAGTTGTTTGCATTTATCTATATTTATATGATTAAATCAAAAAGTGTTCCCACCAAAACACTGTTCTCAGGATCATCAAATGCCAAAAACATGTTATTAGAAACACTAGAGTTTAGTCTACCAGCTTGCACAACACTTCTGCCTTTTCTCCTCATCCTAGCTAGAAATAAGAAGGCTTACACAATCTAAGAATATGAGGAGGATCCGCAATAGTTGTCCCAGAGGGAAAGGGCAATGAGCCAGGATGGTCCCCAAGTACCCTACAACAACAAGGGAAAGGAAAAGGAATGTGTGCAGTGGTCCCAGAAACATGTCCTCTTCCCACTCATACTCTAGAAACAATTCTCCCTGACAGAGATTATGTTGTTTGATCAGCATTTCACTTATGGGTTGCAGAACCCACCAAAGGGGAAAGTACGTCCAACTCAAACATGGCTGTTCTCCGTATTTCTAATGTATATGAACAAAAAAAATTTCATCAGATGTTATATACCTCACCTACTTTTTCAAAGGATTCATTGAATTAAGTTTGACAACCACCTCAGCCCCACTTGCTCATCACTGTCAAGTAAACTGTCTTTGGTTTCTCTTCCACCCTTCCTCTAAGCTTGAGCTAGCCTCCAATTTTGTACTGATTAAAGCACAATCCCAATTAAAGACTTACATTTTACCTCTTTTATAAAAGCCAAACTCAATGAAATGAGAAGTGGAAAGTAGAGAATAGAAGAAATACAGATTTCTTTAAGTCATATTGACTGGCTTTGAAAGTACCCCAGCTCTGCTACCAGTAACTATAAAAATTTGGACAAATTATTTAGATTACTCATCTTTAGTTTCTTCAAAGTCTCTGTGAGGATTTAACTGAGATAACCCACAAAATAATCTACAAAGCATAGTGCATAGCACATAATAAGTATTCAAATATTAGTTAATAATAAGCACACAGACATTAGCGGCATCAAGAATTATCCTCTCCATATAAAATAAAATTTTAAAAATGTACTTAGGAACTCTTTTCAGACTAGAAACTACAACACAAAAACAAGGAAAATACCCCTAGAGAGAATTTAGCACGCTGTTAACACTTTATAACAGAAATATCTTCAAGGGTTTAATCTAAAGAGAAAGAAAAGCCCATTTCTGGTTATAGTGTCTTTATAAAAGTATCCAAACAAAAGTGAGAGTGTCAAAATTTCCATATATAAAAAGCAAAATGACAACGTTTATTTTTAAGGTCCAATCCAAAGCTATGATGTCTTGCAGAGCACTGGATGCCAAGAAGAATATTTTGATATTACTTTACTATTTCAATAAATGTCTATTCCCTCTGAGAAAAACAACAGGAAGGAAAAGTAAATCTTGATTTTTTTTTTTTTGTTGTTGTTGTTGTTGAAGAAGGCTAGAAGAGAATATGAGAAAAGGTCTATTTTCTCTATTTATAATTTAATGCTGATACAATGATCTATAAGTTACATGAGAGGAAGATCACTTTCAATTAGTGTCTGAGGACAAGTTGGCAAATACGGAACTTCCCTCAGAGCAGACAAACTTTAAGAATAAAAAGGGACCAATGAGGTTCCATTATGCAACAATCTCTCAAAAGTCATTTCCACTAAGTTGAATGCATGGTCATAATAGTTCCTTACTGATGTGTATAAAGCTTCAATTTATAGTTTATGAACATCTCAGTTTTGATTTATTGGTATTCTAGTTATATACATAGCTTGGGGGAAAAGTCAAGATGCAGTTTTATTAATGTTAGTCTGGAGATATGACTGTACTGGGGATGGAAAGAAGGTTTAGGATTCCTGGAAAGTAGAGATAAAAGAAGTTTGAGGCTCTGAGAAGGACAGGAAGGAAGGCAGAGGATAAGCTTTTAGAATATTGCATTAAAAAGGTTTAAGAAAATGAAATTTTAGGCTTAGCACAAAATTGCTAAACAGAGGGCAGTTCTGTTCACAATAGAAGATGGGCTAGTTGGAGGCAGAGGTGTCATTACTCATACTTCTCCAAGCAGCTGTCCTACTGTCCTCGACCCTGTCCATTTGACTGGCTGAACCACCTTGAGGTCCTCTCATAAAAATATTATTTAATAAAAATATTTCTCATGCCTAGAATGCTTGTCACTCTTTGGTTCACCTGCCAAATGCCACCTTTTTGATTTTTTAATTAAAGCTCAGTTCCAGTTTATCTCTTCTCTAAAGTCTTTCCTGATTCCACTTTCCCACTCCCCAGCCCACCTTGACTGTGCTTCCTGAGGGCAGCAACTGTGCCTTGTTCACTAGCATAGCCCCAGTGCTTTGTTGCTCAGTAAACTGCAGAACGAGTAAGTAAATAAATGAATGGATGAACATTGTGTGGTTAATTATTTTAGAGCTCTCTAACTCACTAATCTCATTCCTGGAAAGCTATTTGGACATGGAGATTTTTTTTGTAAAAGTCAAGTTATAAGTAGCAAGAAAGGCTTGGGTCAGAAGAAAAGACTGAAACAAAACATTTCCGTTTCCAGGATAGTGAGACTGAAAACGCCTAAAAGAAACCAACGATGATTTGAACCTATGCCAAGATTACAATATGATGCAAAACTACACATTTGCAATTTAGGTTAACTATCTTTACAATACATCTATTCCTCAATTGTATCTCATGTTATAGGAACTATTTGAGCACTTTAAAATCCTTAACCATGTGGGGTAATATGCAAGGCCTGGGGACCTGAAACTCCTTGAAAAAAGTAAATACGAAACTCTGAATCCCAAATACAAAGTCTGAAAAGTCAATTCCCTTAGAAGTTAGCATCAGGAAGTTACTTTTAAAAAGGCCTGACAGCAAATCGCCTGACAGCCTGCGCTACACTCCTGCTTAAACATTCTGGCTGCTGGGTTCAGTCTGAACCTGGCTTTCCCCCATCCTTTCTCCTCCCTAAATTTCTATCTTGGTTTGGGACGTATATCCCTCAAATAACCAGTCTCTCCTGACCTATCTCACGTGTTCCCATCTCACATGCTCCCATACAGCTTAGCTAGCTTCCCACCTTTCTTAGTATGGCTTATTGGCCTAGCTGAAAGCCAATTCTGACATCTATGTAGCATTAATGATAAATCACCTTAGAACGGACTCCTAAGTCATTGCAAAATTAACACTGTGAAAATTTAAGTACCATCAGGAGAAAGATCTCTAAGGGTCAGATAAGACAAAGCTTCAATATTTCCATGCATATTTTGTTTCATACTCACTTAGGAGGGCATAAGACTTCTTCGAGAAATTCCTCAATCTTATTTACATCCGTTTTGACTTCATTGTTGAAAGTTATAAATGGTGGGTGGGTCCCTGGTGCCAAGTTCTGCAGGTCCGCAGGCTTCCTGTTAGGCAAAACAGTGGTCAAAATCTGATCGTTTTTATGTTAAGAAGGCAACAATACTTTAAATCCTCAGAGTCTTTAAATTTTAACCAAAAGACAAAGTCCTTCATTCTCATTCCAAACTAAACTTAGGTGCTTAATAGAAATGGCGGTAGAATAAGAGATAAAAAAGACTTGGGAAAGTCAGCCTCTGGTCTCAACTCTGGCACCAATTCATTGTGTAAATATGGATAAGTCAGAACTTCTCCTCGTTTTTGTAAGAGAGAAAAGCAGCCGATTCCTACAGTCCTTTTCAACAGTAAGATTCCAAATTCTGGTTCAACCTCTTTTTAATTCTCCTGGAAGTTTTGACTCACAAGGAAAAAGATTACCACGTGTGACTATCTAATAACAAAACTACTTCATATATAAAATATAGCAAAAAGAGCCTTGGTGGCACAGTGGTTAATCACTCCGCTTCTAACTGAAAGGTTGGCAGTTCAAACCCACCAGCTACTCCACAAGAGAAAAATGTGGCAGTCTGGTCCTGTAAAGATTATAGCCTAGAAAACCTTATGGGGAGTTCTACTCTGTCCTATAGGCACTATGAGTAGGTATCTACTGGACAGCAACAGGTATAAAATACACTTATGCCTCACTTATTGACTATCTCGTTATCCAACATTTTGCATTTACAATAGTAAAAAAATATACTCTCTGTTTTGCACATTAATGACATATGCCCAGCAGTAACAAACGCCGAGGTACAAACGAGTAACACTGGCTGTGATGGTTAAGGTTATGTGTCAACTTGGCTGGGTCATGATTCTCTCAATGGTTTGGTAGTTATGTAATAAAGTAATTTGGCAGTTATGTAATGATGCAGTCATCTTCCATCTGTGATCTGATGTGGTCATCTTCCACTTTCACATAACGCTGATTCTCACATAACGACCTGGTCTCTGGACCCAACTGTAAGAACAGTGTTGGGGCAGTGTCTGACCTCCTCTAATGTCACAGGGGAAAGGAGAATCAAGATCAACAGCCCAAGGCTGATTCCTATGAGGCAGCAGTCAGACATGCCTCCTCTCTACACCATCTTTACCAATTCTGACACCTATCGTCCCTCCCACAGCACTCTCTACTTCTCTCTTGGGTTCAATAAGTCATTGCAATGGCTACACAGAACTCACAGACAATACTCATGACTATGGGGTTTATTAGGGAAGTAACAGGTTACAATTCAAGCTCAGGAACACTCAGGATACAGTTCTTCCATCAGGACAGCCTCTTTTCAGCTGTGCTCACAGGCACACCTCTCCCTGGGCCTCTGCCCAAAGGCACTCAGCTTTCTCTCTCCTGGGCTTGGAAGCCCACCACACAGTCTCCTGCTGCTGGGTCATTGCCACCGCTTCTCATCATCTTCAGGGTTACACTTCGCACTCTCTCTCTCTCAATCTCCTGCTTCCAGGAGCTTCTCAGCGCAAGGATCCCAAGTCCAGAGGATGTGGTGGCTCCTGGCTGTTCGTCCTTGGTGCTGGTGAGTTTCTCTTTTTCCTGCCTCTGGGGTAGCTCATTTCAAACCCAGCGTGATGGCAAAACTGACCAATCCCGTTGGTGGGCCACAATTACCCTATCACACAGCCCCGCCCAACTACCTGTGTGGGAGTTATAAGACCATGGTGAGAAAGGCCACACAAAAGCAATCCATTACACCACAGACCCTAACCGCGTCAATAAGTGAGGAGTGAGTGTAGCATAACCAAAGGAAAAAGACAAAATAAACTGGACAAAATGATATAGTGAGTGAAAAAGGCTTCAAATCTTTATTACATAAGGATCTTGTCTAAATTCATTTTAAAATTCATCAAAAAATCAAATAGGTAAGGATCAAAAGCAATTGATAAGTGATAGATATAATAAGTGAACACATGGAAAATGTCAAACATCACAATTATCAAAGAAATTCGAAGCTAAACAATGAAGACATTTTTCTCCTATCAATTAGGAAAAACTAGAAATACCACAGAACACATAATTCAGTGAAACTGATATCTTTACAACTACTCATAGCAAGGAATGTTGGTACTACCCTATTAAAAAGCAATATGGCTCACCTAAGCCCACAACAACACTTAGAATCATTAAGTGACAACTCTATGGGGCAGTTCTACTCTCTCCTATAGGGCTGCTAAGAGTCAGAATTGACTCTATAGCAGTGGGTTTGGTTAATGATAAAATAGGAAGCATACACACCCCTATGAAGGATTCCTTACCAAAAAAAGTTGAACCTGAGTCTAATCAAGCCTCTACAAGAGCACTGGTTTCTCAAAATGTGATCCAGGAGACCCCTTTAGGTGGTCCATGAGGTCAAAACTATTCTAATACTAGAAGATCATTTACCTTTTGCACTCTCATTCTCTCAAGCATGTACAGTACAGTTTTTCATAGGCCACCTGGCATGTGATATAACACTGTAATTAATACAGAACCAGAAATGAGAGTCCAACTGTCTTCTACTAAGGAAGACATCAGAGATTTGCAAAAATGTGTAACTCTTCTCATTTGTTTTAGAAAATATAGTTACTGTTTATTTAAAAATGTTACTTATAATAAGTAATGGGTTCATTATTGTAATATTTGAATGAATTAGTAAATATTTTTTAAATTTCTCAGCTTTAATTTCTAACACAGTAAAATCTGTAGCTATAACCACACAGCTGAAAGTTATTTGGTGTCCTCAATAATTTACAAGTATAAAGGGGCCCTGAGACCAAAACGTTCATTAGAGGACAGAGTGAAATGATACCACAAGGAAGCACTCAGCCAAATCCAGAATCTGGACAATACACAATTCCACTAATCAACAAGTCAATGGCATGGGGAAAAAAAGTCACAAGTGGGAGCTGGGAGAGACTGTTTTAGATTAAGAAAAACTTAAGAGACATAACAACCAAATTTGTTTGGGTCCTAGTTTGAACCAACCAACCAAGGACAAAGAGATATTTTGGAGATAAATAGGGAACTCTGATTATACAATGGCAATTGGACATGATAATGGCCTTGTGGTTAGGTAAGAAAATGTCCATACTGCTTTGGAGATATACACTGAAGTAAGTAGGGGTGAAATGGTATGATGTCTGGGATTTGCTTAAAACACTTGAGCAAAGAAAATTTAAAAAAAGAGAGAGAGAAAGACAAAGCAAATGTGGCAAACTCTTGATAAGTGCACTATTATTGCTATTCTTGCAAAGATTTGAAATTTTTCATAATTAAAAAGGCAATATGGCCTGGCAGCGCTCAGCTGGTAAGCAAAAGGATGGCAGTTCAAACTCAACCAGAGGCCCCGAGGGAGAAAGAACTGGGGCAGTTCTACTCTGTCACATGGGGTAGCTATGACTAGGAATCAAGTCAATGGCACCTAACAACAACAATTATAAGAAGAATATATGCTTACTGTAAAAAAAAGTGGAAAATACAGGAAAGTTAAAGAAAGCAATCATTCAGAAAATCAAGCTAACTTAGAATAGTACCTTCCTTCCAACCTACTTAAGTTTTAACAGAGAGATCATACTGTATCAATTTTATACTCTTTAAAAATAAGTAAGGTGACATTTGGGCTTTTACTGTGGGCCAAGCACTGGGCTTTACATGCATTATCTTACATCATCCTTATACCTTACTCCCAGGAGGCAGGTACCCTACCAGGCAGGGTGGAGGGATTCTGACACTCACAAAAGGTAACTTGCTAAGGCCATAAACCTAGTATGTGGCAGAGGTGGACCATGACTCAGGTTTCTCCAATCCCAAAGCCCAGAATCATTAAAAATGTTATAAACATCTTAAAATGATCGTCCAATATGTCACTGTATAGATGACTCATAATTAATTATTTTAATGCACATTTACAAAAAAAAAAAAAAACAGGAATAAATAACAATGCAGTGCACAACTTTATAAATAAACCTTCCTGATTTTTAGGTTATTTCCTTAGGATATACAGGCAGTCCCCAGGTTATGAAGAGAACTGTCCCTGTGTCTTTAAATCTTTAAGTCGAATTTATAGGTAAGTCACTACCGGTGCATACAGTTCTTATTTAGCCTTACTTTAGTGTAAGAAAAAAGGCTTCGAGCCTTTTCAATAATTTAAAAGCTGCACGTGTAGCAAGCGAAGGTGACTGTGACAAAGAATTTGTTGTAAGTAGGGGTTGGTTCAATTGTTTCAAAGCAAGGGCAAATTTACATAATATTAAAGGGCAAGTACGAGATGTCTGTAAGCTGGACGTTCATAACCCGAGGACTGCCTGTATTCCTCAAAACTGGAATTATTGGATAAAAGGGTAGGAACACTGAGGTTCTTGATGTACACTTGGCAGTAAAATTTTTTTATTGTTGTAGTTAAATGAAGTTTACATTTCAAGTTAGTCTCCCATACAAAATTTTATGCATACATTGTTACGTGACCCTAATTTCTCACCCCATTCTGAGACAGCACACTCCTCCTTTCCGCCCCTGATTCCCCATGACCATTCAACCAGCTCCTAACCGCTCCCATCTCACCTCTGGACAGAAGCCGCCCCTTTGGTCTCTTGTATCTACTTGACTAAAGAGGCACACTCTTCACGAGTATCACTTTATGTCCCACAGACCAGTCCAATCCCTGTCTGAAGAGTTGGCCTCAGAAACTGTTTTAGTTCTGGGCTGATAGAGAGTCCAGGGGCCATGCTTTCCAGGGTACCTCCAGTCTCAGTCAGACCATTAAGTCTGGTCTTCTTACTAGAATTTGAGTTCTGTACCCCATCCTTCTGCTGCTCCATCAGGGACTCTCTGTTGTGTTCCCTGGCAGGACTTTCATTGGTGGTACCCGGGCACCATCTAGTTCTTCTGGTCTCAGGCTGATGGAGTCTCTGGTTTATGTGGCCCATTCTGTCTCTTGGGCTACTACTTTCCTTGTGTCTTTGGTGTTCCTCGTTCTCCTTTACTCCAAGTGGTTGGGACCAACTGATGCATCTTAGATGGCCA